AGAATATGTTCCATCTTCTCGGTATATTGTTCTTTGTCCATTATCACTGTAGCACCTCCTTTGTCCACCTAAATAATTAATTGTTCTTTTTTTTCAGTGTCTTGTGTATCCTAGCAAATCTGTAACTGTGTGTCCCAAGGTCCTTGTTATTAATTCCATCTCTATGTTCCGTTTTGTCTCCTCAGGGAACTTGACGGAGATATTGATAATCTCAACCAGGGTGTCTACTAGAAGGCTTTTGTTATGTTAAATTGAAAAATTGAGTCCTTTTTCCAGGAACGCTGTTGTTTCGGCATTGAGATCAAATTATGATAAATTTATTACTTTCTTCTGATCTTCGTACTGACCCGTAAGTGTTGTCACCTCGAAAACCACTTCAACTGGGCGTACTGACTTCAACTTAGGCTGTCTTTTAATCCCAGACTTACGCAATTCATCGTCATATTGTTTTGTTATTAAGCCAGATATCCTAGATGATTTCCTGTCGGTCATACTTTGGAGTTTTTGAAAGTATTCCAAAGTCAGAAAGCTGGCCAGATCAGGCCGGATTTTTGACTTAATATCTATAAACTTAAATAGCTTATTCCTCTTCGTATCATAAGCATCACTTAGTTTCTGGATAGGAGCCTGGTGGAGATACTCAATAGGATTATCCGAATAGTACAGTCTCCTAAGGTGACAGAACTTAGGAGTAATACAATAACGTCTACAACAATTAAAAAAGGTCAGATCGCAAGATTGACTTACATTTGTATTATTTATCTTGCAATATTATAACCGTAGTTTAATCGAAGATATCAAGTTCAGGATGGTTTAGCCCTCGGTATGGTCGATTTCTAGATGTAGGTTGACCTCATTTTCGTAACCATACCGGGAGTCACACCATCTTGGTCTTTATATCAGTGATCTTGATGCATAGCAGAGGCCAATTGGCAAGCCGATAGGAAAAAAAGTGGAGGGTGGCAGAACATAGGCGACACACGGCTATGCAACATTGGAGGAAACGAGAGCACATAATTGTGTGAATAAGTGGATGAGCCATATGAAGTATGGTTGAAAGAAAGAGATGCGGCACTATAAGGTAGAACAAAAATGAGGAACGAGGAGTGATGCCACAACGGTTGAACAGAATATTTATCAAGGTGGCTCCCTTCACTTGCCTCTTTGATAAGTTGTAACTCCGTTATTACGATGGCGCCTCTCCCTGACGATACTGACTACGATTCCGTCGAAATGTTTGGGAATGTGCTAAGCCAATGGTCCAATGCTGAAACTTACGAATACTATGGCAGAGGACATAGGGCAAGGTATGCCTTACAAAGTGTAGGCATAAGAATAATCATTGTTGAGCTTATTTCCATTTCGAGTGAAAGTGTTGGGTGAAGATATTTGAAGGTCGCTTCCACCAGAAGACGACGGCGGATTCCTTTTAACCAGCTGTCGATTGGCTTTACTGGAACATTCATGCTGACGCTGTTTCGGAGGCAATCTACTTCGATTCTGGTTAAAACGTGCTAAGCTTTCGTCCGTCATATGACGGACATTATCAGAGCGAGGCAACATCGTCACAACAAAATTCAAGCTAACGGGTCAAGAAAACTCACCGGCAAATCCCTAAAGGGTGGTATATATACTCTACATCTTGATCAAGTATAAAGCGATTTAGTTAGTTAGGGTCATATGTCAACTTCGATGCATGTGTGCACATACGCATACAGAGACAGACACACATGACCTTGACTAACTAAATCACTTTATACTTGATTAAGATGTAGAGTATA